GGGGTCGGTGCGTCTCCTCCTGAGCCCATCCCCTCCCCCCCCCACCCAAAACGTCGCCCCCCACCCACACCAGTCCGTACCCAGGGCGCGGCCCTCGTCGCCGAACTGGTGACCCCCCCCATCAAGAGACGAGCAGCGGACACGCGCGGCAGCGCGTCTGAGATAAAGGAGGATCGACCTCCAAGCGCAGCGAGGGGGGGAGGGGAGAGAGAAGGAGGGGTGCAGTCAGCGTAGAATCGAGAAGTCGGATCGGACCCTTACAAGATGAGTAGTCAGCACCGAATCGGGAAATCGAGTCGGAACGTGCGTCGGATCGGGCCGTATCCGTATGTCACTCGGGAGCGGCCAAGAGGGGGGTGTCCAAGAGAGGGGGGTGCAAATCATGACCGGCGGCATGTGCGCGGCCCAGCGGGGGGGCCAGGGACGTAATGAAACAAGAAGAGGCGCCACGAAATCTGGGGAGATATCATGGCCCACGCCATGATATCCACCATCCCCTAATCATCACCCCCCTCTTTTCCGCCCCCGAGTCACAGAGTCGGGATCGACCGCTGGAAAATCGGCATCGAATTCGGATCGGGCCGGGCGGAATCGACGTCGGACTGGATCGGTCGGGTCGAGATGCGCCCTGAGGAGGTGGGTGCACAGAGGTGCGCCGATGGAGGGTGCGCATCAAGGGAATATGCCTCTAGGAAGCATGCCTCCAGAGGGGGGTGCGGAAAGGGGTGCCAGCACCGCCGAGCAGCGCCGCTGCTCGCCGGCGGCCCCCGGGGCTTCGCCCGGTTGCCAACAGCCAAGATCTGAGCGGCCACCGGGGCTTCGCCCGGCTGCCGCTCAGACGACGAAGGCCGCGGGGGGCGCTGCGTGCTCGTCGCCAGGCCTCCAGACCAGGCACTGCACGAGCAGGTCCGAGAGGTCGTTCCAGGCCCCCGGGTTGTGGCGCTGCAGCTCCATGCTCCACCCCTCCACCTCGGCCGGCCAAGAAGAGAAGCTGCAGCGGGACTGGGCAACGAACGCCCAGCGAGCAAGGAGGATCGAACTCTCTCCGAACTCTCTCTCTCTCTCCCTCTCCTTCCCCGTCTTTCTCTCCTTCCTCACCTTTCTCTCTCTCTTTTTTTGTTCCCATGCATCCTGTGGTGTTGGGTCCTCGCTTTGAAGAGACGGTCCCCGCGTTCCTCCTTCCTCCCTCCTCCTCCCTACCCCTCCTCCCATCCCTTGCCTCTGCCCTCCGCATGTCCACCAGTTCGGCACAAGCCAGTACAGCGTTTCGTGGCCCCACGGGGAGCTCCACCGAAGGTCCCAATGGGACCGCCCGCACGTGTCAGCTACCACCCAGCACAGCGCTTCGTGGGCCCATAGGGGGCTCAACCGAAGGCCCCTGTGGGACCAGACCGCCCGCGTGCGTCAGCCACCACCCAGTACAGCGTTTCGTGGCCCCATAGGGAGCTCCACCGAAGGTCCCAATGGGACCGCCCGCATGCGTCAACAACGACCCAGCACAGCGTTTCGTAGCCCCACGGGGAGCTCCACCGACGGCCCCAGTGGCACCGCCCGCATGCGTCAGCCACCACCCAGCACTGCGTTTCGTGGCCCCACGGGGAGCTTTACCGAAGGTCCCAGTGGGACCACCCGCATACGTCAGCCACCACCCAGTACAGCGTTTCGTGGGCCAATAGGGAGCTCCACTGACTGCCCCAGTGGCACCGCCCGCATGCGTCGTTCACCACCCAGCACAGCGCTTCGTGATCCCATAGGGGGCTCCACCGAAGGCCTCTGTGGGACCAGACCGCCCGCGTGCGTCAGCCACCGCCCAGTACAGCGTTCCGTGGCCCAACAGGGAGCTCCACCGAAGGTCCCGGTGGGACCGCCCGCATGCGTCAACCACAACCCAGCACAGCGATTCGTGGCCCCACGGGGAGCTCCACCGCCCCAGTGGCACCACCCGCATGCGTCAGCCACCACCCAGTACAGCCTTTTAGTTGTCCCATAGGGAGCTCCACCGAAGGCCCCAGTGGCACCGCCTGCATTAGGGAACCCCACCGAAGGTCCCAGTGGGACCGCCCGCGTGCGTTAGCCACCACCCAGTACAGCGCTTCGGGGATCCATAGGGAGCTCCACAGAAAGACCCCAGTGGCACCGCCCGCATGCGTCGTTCACCACCCAGTATTGCATTTCGCGGCCCCGTTGATTGGAAGCTCCACCAAGCCCCAGTGGTACCGCCCCCTGCGTGCCCCCCCACCCAGTACAGCGTTTCATGGCCTCGTAGGGAGCTCCAGCGCTCCGCCCGCATGCGACCCCCCACCCAGTACAGCGCTTAGTGGGCCAATGGTGAGCTCCACCGAAGGCCCGTGTGGCAACGCCCGCATGCGTCCCCCCCCCCCCCCCCAATACAGCGTTTCGTGGCCCCATCGGGAGCTCCACCGAAGCCCCTACGTGTACCGCCCGCATGCGTCAGCCACCACCCAGTACAACGTTTCGTGGCCCCGCAGGGAGCTCCACA